GCTGGACCGCATGGAGCATGAATCGACGGAGGAAACATACCGTGTCAGAGAATGTATAAGGACCGCATTTTCCCTGTACATAAAATCCGACACAAGAAACAGATACACAAACAGATACACACACAAAGAAACAGATACACAGATACAGATACACAGATACGCCCTTCAGGACTTGCTTAATGGAGCGTAATGTCAATTAATAATCGGCCAGCAGTTAATCTGCCAAATATCTACAAAGCGGATTGCATGAGCAGCCGATTTATTTCAACAATTCAGTGTCCTGGGTCATCTCTGCATATCAAAAATCAGTTCTCTGGCGGATGCTGGGCAAAAGCCGACGAACGAAACCGTACTCTGATTAATTATGCTGGTAGGAGGGCTTAGATAAAAAGGTTTCATTTAAAACATTAAGACCTCGAACATTCAACTTACCGTCGGAAAATAAAGAATCGCCGTAAGGTACACATGCAAGCTTACAAGGCGTCTTGAGTAAATTACCTGAGACCTTGAAAATTTTTAGACTTGTATGACGGCTGTTGAACAACAAATTTGTGTGCTCTTGAAAGCCACATACGAACTTTTCGGTGGATTTCCAACCTACAGGCCTATATTTGCAAAATCAAAGCTTCCGTAAGATTGCTCTTTATTAACTTGTGAAGGGCTTTGATCCGAAGAGTGGCGACGGGCATAAGCGGATGTAAAATTCAGGAAAATGATTATAAAATTAGTTTTCCCTAGGATAAACAACCAAAACATCGCGGTCGCAATGCCTTTTGTTTCTTTCAGTAATGCTGCTATAGTTCATTGTATCAAACGTGCATATATTAGACTTCCCACTTAGTCGTATTACTGTTTCGAAAATTCAGTTGTTTATAGTCGTTTACCTTATTAGTTCAGCGTCAAAAAGGTGTTACAGGGCTTAAAATTCAGCGCTTTTTTGCCAAAGTAATGAAGACTATAAAAATTCTGATGCACATGAATTAACCTGAATTTGTGTACATTACCAGTCAGCGCCTAAAGTCGTTTTTCGACTTTCAGTCATACGTGCAGGCAAATGGCGTCTTCCATAAGTTTCTAATCCATCCTATTTAAAATTCGTTTTTTGTAACCTTACCTAGCACATCCTCTTTATTTATCAAAACTTTAGCCTGAAATCTGGGGACTGCCTTTGTCACCAAAAGTATCATAAAGGAGTCCTCAATAATTTGTCCATCATAAATAACGTCGTACAACATACAAAGAGCTGGCTGACTGTTGTCGCAGAAGAGAGATGTATAAATAACATCTTATCTTAAAAGGACATTTTAAGTATATTTGAGCCTTATTTCTAACATTTGGATGCCAGTTGGGTTAGGAAGCTTGCTGTGCACAAGCCCTGCACTTACTGTTGTTGTTTCAAACCCCACCAATATCATCGAGTTTTCGTAATTTGGCAAGAAGAATATATTCCATTCCGCAAGGGTTTTTTCAACCCGTAGCGTAAATTTACTTGTCACTATTGTATGACTAATGATCATATTCGTCCAAGCAAAAACTAAAGGGTACTATTTTGTTCTCACGGTCGCTGTCAAAAGTGTCATTAATGCGAGGCATGCAGAGGCATTAAACGAAAAAAATGCCACTTAAACAATTGGTCATGTCCGTGTTTTTCTGACTGCCCAACTGATAAAAGTCTCAGAATGTATGTTTGGTTTTGTGAACTTCGAGCAGGTTCGACTGCGTCAGCAGAGGCAACTTAAATCGGACAAGACGAAGTATTTCAGAAAGAATAACCATTTTCCTCTAGAGAAAATAGCATAGCAACTTGCTTACGAACCGCCCTGAATCTGCTCAGATATGGCAAATAGACTGTATTGATCTTTAAATCCAGGAATTATTTTGGAGTTGATAGGGTTTAATTGCTATTAGCAGCAAACGGTTTGTATCGGTCAATAAGACAACAAAATTCGCTCCAAAGGACAGGCTATCGACGGTTTTCATTCGGGGAAGACGTACTGTATCAAACTTTTTGACAGAGAACTGGGTGGACATTCATCTGTAGTCGTGGACATTTATTTGCACCTTAATATCTAAACAACTGCTTTCAAGGCCCGTAGTGAAAAGCATGTGGAAAGTCAAATCCTGGGTACAATGACTGGGGACGTTCAGCTTCTCAGTTTACGAACAGTGTTATTTTCGATCGTTGGGAGCTGTTTCACACTCAATGAAGTCTTATCACCAGCAGATGTGGTAGAAGTCTAATTTTCTACTCTTATCTGCAACAAAAGCGAATAGTCCTCATCTGCTGGTAGCTTAAAAAAGACCGGCTTAGTAAGTCCACTGTGAGTGTTTGAATTGGTTGATAGCATACTATCGATCTTCAAGCTATATGTTCCAAGCTATATGTTTATTTCATTGCTTTCTGAACATGACGTAAGGGCATGTACACATAAAACAAACAAAGGTCGAGAATTCCTGAAAGCAGTGCATTCAACTGTAGTATAAATTACTAGGCCTTCTGATTTAGATATCATATACAAACTTCTCAAATTCAAATAAAACACAGCACAGTCAATACCGACCTAGTAACTAAGTAAGTTGGATGCCGATTAGCACTAACTTTACCCATCCGCTAATTATACACGGCTTAAAGTTAACTGTTTTATGTTTTTTGCCCATTCATCTTACGAAAAGTTAAAGCGCTATATTCGAAAATTTACAATAAAAATTCTTTCTTTCTCAAAGAATCCGACCTATGTTCAATCAAATTTCTTTGAATGCTTGTTTTAAAGGCAAAGTTATTTCCGTTTGATCTGGGGCATGGGTTGCAGTTATAAACTCTGAGGAAATCTGAATAGAAAATATATGTCTCAGACCGACCAGCGTCAGTGGTGCGGCGCATTTGTCAGCAAGCCCTCTGACAGACTGTAAAAGACAAGGATTATGCATCACGAATGCATCCATTTATGTTGACTGTGAATGCCTAACAGAAAAAAAAGTCAGTTCAGTGAAGGATCCCATGCAGCTGTGGCGTGCAAAGAATACCTACCTAAATTTTTTAAGTGGGTTTTAGTCCGACACGATTATTTTGGTTTGGTATTTCACCGTACAAGATTGTGTCGTCTGTTCTAGACGGTCTGGTGCATTATCTACAATCATTTCAGCTCATAGAGTTAAGAAACAATCGCTGTAGACATTTAATGTTTATTTTGCAATTGGCCTGCCTAATTTCGGGTGCTATATGTGAATGCGAGGAAACTTTTCCGCCTGGAAAACGAATTTGCCGATTTTCTGTACTTGTTTTGCCATTCCTCAATGCATACATAGGGCCTGCTCGTAAAAACTCTATTAGTACCTTTCCCGTAGGACAGCACCTTTGTCTGGACGTGTGGGGTTTGGAGTCATTCACTAGATCCTTGCCATTTTTACTTCATTGAATGCGCCAGAACCACTTCAGTATCATATTGCAATCATTCATTTTGCCTGCAAATCAAAATACGGTTAGATGGACTTTTTAAATTAAATTGTCGAAGGGACATCTTGCATTAATATGTAAACCATGGCACTTTAGCCCTTGAATATACATTACTCAAACTCCGTCAGCATAAACCAGTTTTGCAGTCAGCGGCTATCAGTAATTCGGTTAAATACGAATATAACATGTACAACACTGGTTGTTTCTATGCAGGTAGGGAAATTCTAGACTACATGCATGGATACGCATATGCAGAATTTCGGCTTCGTTAGCATTTTATGGGAAAACGTCAGCTTAGCCTGCTAGCACATTAAGATATGTTCCTCGTTTTTTGAGATATTTTTTCCTCAAACAATGTTACGCTTACCAATAGAAACGAAGAGACGAGTCCCAGGAAGAAGTCTTTAAGAAGGAGACAGGATTTCTGGGACAAAAGCTTTATTAGCCTAAATTTCGGATTCCTGCTCGAACCCACCATCACAGACAACAGAGGATACGAGTGATTCACGCACAAGGGGTTGCAGTATTTATAGGATGCAGTCGACATGCTACCGCATACCTATGCACATACACGGCTCCCCCCTTCGTCCGGGATCGTCGCACTTGGTGTGCTAATTGTTTGATGGCCGAAATTCGCGTCGTTAATTGTTGCAATTTCATCACGTGCGTTGGATGTTGGTGTGATGACTGCCCGACCATCTGACCCACCGACGCTGGTTTTGGGAAAAGCGATCACCTTTGCGCTCCCAGCGTAGCTATTTACTCCGCCTAGTCGAAGTTTCAGCACCGCGTATGGAAGGGGAAGTTCATTACACTTGTTAATAGACTGAAGGCCATTAAACCATGACTCAAGCAGCACTCCACTCACCCGGTTGTCAGCTCTTGCGATAACTTCAGCCTCGTTAAATTTGAATGCGTGGTCGGATCTCGTCGAATGAGCCGCAACGTGTGAGCTGGCGTCAGTTCTCCACATCGCCGCAGCGTGTTCGGTCATTCTCGTTCGGAGCTGTCTTCCGGTTTCTCCGACGTAGTTGCTTTGTCCGCAACTGCACCAGATCCGATAAACGACTCCAGACGTCTCTAGCCGTGGCAGCGGGTCTTTCGGTTTTACTACCAGACGCCTGATTGTTGCCTTCGGTCTGTGTGCCACTCCAACCCCATGTGGTGCGAGAAGACGGCCGACAGCTTCCGAAACGTTCTTCACATACGGAAGTGCCCGCCAAGATTTGGTGTCCGTGCGGTTAGGCCTTTCGTCCCTTTTGCGTATGCACCGGTTGCCGAAGTTGTGCGGGTGGCCATTGGCTTTGAATACCCGTCGGAGTTATTGTATTTCGGTAGTCTTGTCTTCCGGCTCACTGCAGTGTCTTTCGACACGCCGATAGAGCGTCCTTACACAACTGCGTTTGTGGCTGATTGGGTGGTTGCTGTTGAAGTTCAGTACTTGCATCGTATTTGTCGCTTTCCTGAGCACTTTGGTTTTTAGTCCACCACAATCCTTGCGGCATACGAGGACATTCAGGAAGGCCAGCTGGTTGTTCTCTTCCTCCTACATCGTAAATTTTATGTCCGAGAAGACGGCGTTGAGATGTTCAGTGAATGTCAGCACCTGATCCCGTTCGATGACGGCGAAGGTATCATCCACATACCGGACCCAGGACTTCGGTCTGTTGTGTTGAAAGACCAGCGACTCTAACCGTTGCAGGACCGCCTCGGCGATGAATCCCGAACTCGGCGAACCCATCGGTGTGCCCTTCACCTGTTTGTAGATTGTCCCGTCGAGAGTGAAGTACGTCCTGAGACAGAGCTTCAGGAGCTGAAGGTTTTGGGCGTGTCCAAGACGATTCTCCGTTTCATCGTATTTACGTTGTAGTTGCAGCTCGATTGTCTCGATTGCCAGGTACTGAGGGACAGAAGTTAAAATGGATGTAACATCAAAAGATACCACGACCTCATTTTGATGGAGGCTAACCCCTTTGTGTTTCTCCAGGATTTGTGTTGACGAAGAGACCGTGGTGGCTGCCTCAGCGGCCAGGAGCTTGAGAAGCCGGAACAGCCATTTAGCCGGTCCGTACGCTGGAGTCCCCTTGAGCAAAAGGGAGTCAAACTTACGGTGTAAAGTCAAATACCTGCTAAGACAAAAACTGAAAAGATGCTTTCAAACTTCCTTGAATAACTATACCTTGTGATTTTTGGCTAAAATTCCTAGTCAGTGTCTGTGTTTTTCAGGATAATTTTATCCAATTCTTCCCTGTATCTTGATGTAGCACTCTTTTAGGACCAAGAACCGGAGACTTCCAAAGCAGCCCCTAGCCCTTAAATCTTGTAATACCTCTTTAACTCCTGGGTCTTTAGAAGCGCTTTTTCGGCATTTTACTACAATGCCTTGGTGCAATATGGTATCATTTGCCCACTTTGCAGTTGCAAAAGCAAAACTTACTAAAGTAGACGAATTAACTCATGAAATATCTTGATAGAAATTTGAGTGATGAGTACAGTACACGTTTGGTTTTTTTATTCTTTTCTTGCAAATTGATTTAGGTCGCGGAAAACCTCTTTCTAGGGAATCATTTTATTTCTGCTAATAGCGCCGGCCTCAATCACATAAAAAATCTCTTTTCATTCGTCAAAATAAAATGCTCAATGCACCGAATGGTGGATTTTGTGCATTACGATTTTATAGATCAGCCCATCGTAGACAAGTTAGCCGGTTTTACATCGGCCCGATATACAAGCGAAAAGACCATCAACAGAGGACTGAGACGCTGTGTCTGTTCATTTTTTTGCTATCAATTATTTTACACCCTAAATAAATGACTCATCTCAAAGTTGTATTTGGTTTGATAGTTTTCGATAAAATGCGTTATTTCTGGCCTAACAGATAATAGTAATTTATAAATAAAACTACGCCATCCAGTGAAGTATGGTTATTTCCCGAAAGTAATATGGCTTTCATGGACGCTTTCATGGGCGATCTGTGCGTCTGTCGCATGCATCGCTTGCTTTACTATGACAGCAGTGTGTCGTATGGCGAGGTATCTATCAGTCCTTTACTAAACGCACTGTCAGCGCGGGACACTCCTTCCTGTCAGAACAGTATAGTGCCGAATTTTGTATCATTAAAGCTTCTCAAAATTTCGATTAAATCCTTGGGACCGGAATTTGGCGCATGACATTCAATAGCTGCTAATTCGCAAGCATAATGCTCACCAGCTTAGAACTAACGTTCATTGTGCATTGCGCATTTCTTTAATGGTTAGCCGAGCGCGCGACTAAGCAGCCAGTCCTGTCTGTCAAGTTCATTAGAAGACACTCTTAGCCAACGCACACACCTGGGCGAATTCCCACATATCCTCTGGCCGTCCGCACCCTCTCCCCTTCTCCCTGGTGTACAGTCACGCTGATGTGGACACGACAGCTGTCCGCAAAGTGACAAAATAATCTCCCTGCTGAAATTCGACTTTCAAAAGGTTGGAATTGCACCTCATTCTGTCGAAGGTAGGCTGACGGCTTCCGCGGCTAGCAACTCTCGCTAGGTCATATTGTACGCGTTTTTTCATTCTATCATGCAGGCATTTGCCTCCATAAATCTCCCCCCCCAATCCTATACCCCCTAGCCCCAGAGTGGACGACAAGCGAGGCAAATTGCGCCATCCCTCAGAGGATTTCTAAACAGTAAGAAGTTTTTCGCAAGGAAGCCTTAAGCGTGAACACGTCCAACAATCTTATCTTCGAGAGAAACTACAAGCTACAAATTCACAAAAGTGCACAGTATTTAAAGGTTTCGGAATTTTTATTTAAATAATTCGCCAAAAAGATTGCACATCTGAGTAGAAAGAGCCTTCGAGAAGAATGCGTAGTTTAGACTGTGTGCAGAATTGAGCCGGGGCAGTGCATTTTTGAGGCAGGAGACATGCGATTTTTTCGCAATTAACTGTATATCGTTCCCAAGAGGTTTCTCATGTTTTACTGGAGTGTCTCTCTCAGGTAAGTCCGCAGCTCAGTAGGAAGTCTAAGCACATCCTACAGTGAATTAGAGCGCCGCACTAAAGTTAAACTTGTTCTAAAATCAATGCTCTACTATAACTGTTTACGAACGTTGGCAATCCCCGACTGTCTTACTGTGGACACTTCCTTAAAATCCTTGGTCTTATAAGGCAAAGCGTTAACGCTGTCTTTATCTAACAATGCTGGGTCCCCAGACGGGTCAAGTGGTAAATGCACTGGACCAGCATGGGGGTCATATTGGATTCTGGCGGGCGTTATCGAAATGCACAGCATAACAAATGCCTGCATTTTGTGGTGCGATGGCAGACCCGGTTGTCGGCATCCGTCACTCACACTTGGGCCCCTGCCGCCCTCACCCATTGTTGTTGTTGGTCAAAGTCCTAGCCATTTGCTGTGTGGACCAAGGGGGCGGGAGTGGAGCGCCAAGGTGCGAGCTCAACCGTCCCATCCACCTGCGCCCTACCCGCTTCTGGTCTTCTTGACTCTGTCTTGACACCGGGTCCAGATTGGGAAGGAGGAGAGTGTGTGATGGATGCTGTGCAAGTCTACTACCACTATAATGTACACACAGGTCACCGCCCCTGTTCCCACTTTCTGTCGAGTACACGGTGGAACTCGGCGACAACGACGGTCGGACTGTCATTCAACAATGTCGAAAACGATGACGGATTTATAGGCAGAATGGTATTACCGACAAAGACAAGGGAGACTGGAATGGACATTTCTGGCTTATTAGCCGTCGTCAGCCAGCCACACCCAAGCCCGAAGTGTGGAACACCCGGGCCTCGAACTCACGATCTGTTGGTTTAGATGTCCACGCCTCTACCCACCAGGCCACGAGCCCGTTGCCCTGTCGGTATGACTGATTTGGCAATTAGGTGCAAGCAAATACTTCTCATGAAGGACCAAGGAAAGTTGTATATTCGAAAGGAGAACGGCGCGTTTACTTTTCTTACCGAATCAAAAATATGTTCTTAAACAAGTGTGCCGGAATACTAAATCATCTTTGTAAGACTGCATTTGCAGAATGAAAGAGTTTACTGATACAATAGGTGCGTGAAATTGCCGTTCATAAAACGTCATGACTCTACATTTACCAATGTGGCTGGCAAAGATAACAGTATGGTTCATAGGTGCTTTGGCAGATTTCAAATAATTCACTTTTACCCATTTGTGAAAAACTCGGTGCCCCGGTGGGGTTCGAACTCACAACAGCTAGGGGAGGCTTTAATACAGCAAATGCTCTAACCATCTGAGGCACCGAGCTTTTCACAGTTGGGTCAAAGTTAATTAGCAATATGGCTCAAATCCATTGCTAAATTTTAGTAACCCCATACGGTTTCCACCTAATACCATACAGAAATGTACGGTTCTCCATACGCGGAAAATATACGGCGTGTAGGTTGAAAACCTTGAATGCAAGTGTAACGGCAGGTCGAGTTCAAAATTATTCGGGAATAAGAAAAGTTTTTGAAAACCTAATTATACCTTACACTGAAGTAAAAAGTGGAAGAAGGCGTAATTTTCTACCGAATGAGAAAAAGAATGAACATTTTCTATGCATGTTTTCTATGAAATATAATTAAATTAAGGCCTTGAAAGTCAATGACAGACATACATGCTAATTCAGTAGTCATCTTTTATAGCGTTTCGTTTTTTTCAGGCAGAAGCAAAGAACTTCTTTCGATAGCCGGTGTTTTGATGTACCTGAATTAGTATAGAATTGTGTTGATTGAGGATTTGTTTTACAACTCCACTTAAGTAGTCTTTTCGAAACGAAAACGCATTTCGGAATTCCGATTGAAATTCCATGAGTTAGCCCATCTAATGTATATGCTTCCGATATTAGCGAAACAAGACTAATTTGAGCGTACGCGAAGGGAAGAATTCATCTCCAATTGAAGCGAACGCGGTGGATAGGAGTAACAACACTCTGCCCAATATAGCATTGTATTTCCTTAGCGCCGTATATATGCCCACTGGTCACGCGGACTACGTCGCAGCTAGAAAAAAGGAACATTCACATAATGTAACTTTGTGCGTAATTATTTCAGCCGAAATGTAATAGCCGCGGTTGTTTGAAAATTATTGAGGATAAATCCCCTAGCCCTGCCACGCGGCACTTTATATTTCAGGTTCCGTTTTGGCGCACCTGTTGGGGGATTGCATCGTGGGTATCCACTCCGGAAGACAAAACTTGAATAGGACCTTTTCCGCACATTTACAAACAACCAGGGCTGGGCGACACGTTGAGTCTTATAGAAGGCTTTGTCGGCAAAAAGCTTCAAAGCAATCTTTTTGCCAGCTGACCAGATGTAAAATGTGCATTAGGGTCTCGTGAAATCAACATATAGCAATAAAGCAAGCATAACCAACATTTAATTTCCGATCACAGTTTTCAGCATAAAAGCGTATATCGAGCGCAAACCTGCTCGTTCCGTGAAAAAGTATGAAGACATGTTGCGGATTCAATTTCTCCTGCGAAAAAAATTATTTTGTGTTAATCAATCGACATCGTCGTATTAATGAGGTAATATACTGGTTATTCTTTGCTTGCCTGCATCTCACCCATCAACTCTTCTAGTAATCGTGCATAATTTGAAATAAAACGGTTGTCTAACGGCACTTGAAAGGGAGTTTTAAAGGTTTCAAGCACTTTTTTCGCTTAAAGTAGGCGCAGATATGTCTCGATGTTTATTTTCCTAAATAAATATGTCCAAAGAACAAGTGATCTCATTCGACTTGGTACGCTATCGCTGAACGTGACTTCACTGTTCGACCTCTGACTGACTGCCTTAAACAAAAGCAGTATCATTGCCAACATTAAAACATAAAGATAGTACAGATTTATAGCTCTTTGCCGTTATTAAATCCGTTATCGACAGGCCTATTTGGTGTCAACAACCGTCATGGCCATGGCTGGCCTCCTTTTTCAAGGCCCCTCGGGAGCGTTAAGGTCATTCACCCTCACGGAGAGAGGTTCAAGAAGCACTGATCTGCATTCAGTCGGCCGACTTCAGCTCGGACGTGCGCGCGTTCACAGATTCGCAGCTGCCCACGCGCCATTTGAACTCGCCGCCCCCTGCGAACGCGACAAATGCCACGTGAACACCACCCTTCGACAAATCAACACACACAAACTGGACACCACTTCAGATTGCCCCAGAAACCTACAAAAGCATCTGTCATCCCTGCCTCAGGGACTCTCAGGCGTGACCGGACACAGTCAACACCAGCCCTGGCTTCTCCATCGTCCACATCTGTCCGAGAGGACATCTCGGGTTCTTGTATACAGTAATTCCCCTAATTCTGGTGACTGTAGTGCTCTGAGTACACTCACCACTTAGACGCTACACAGTCAGTGATGTTCAGTTAGTGTATGGAATTGGGAAATTTTACCTGTCGCAATTTTCTCAAATGTTTACCTCAGAGCCGTTCGACCTTGACAACTCCCCATCCAGGTGAGCCGACCAGGATGTGTTCCCAAATTCCCGGAAACTCAAATGATCAAGTAGTTCCGACTGTCACTCAACTACAGGAGCATTCTCCAACAAACTTCAAGGTCAGAAAGCCCCTTATTATTCGAGGATGATCACTAACACAAGTTCAAAACCTGGGTAAACCCCCACGTTTTCCGGAGGCTGAACTCTTACTCCCTTCTCGTCATTTATCGCCACATAGGACAGGACGGATTACCACTGAGCTTCAGTCTGCAGAAGTGTAATAATTCAATGCAAACTTTTGCAAACAGCTGATCAATATTTTTCTTAGTTAGAGTACCAATGATATGCTAGAAAAGAAACAATTTGATAACGAGTCGTCCACAGGCATAACTGCTGTGCTATTGGACGGCTTGGAATTGTCGGTCTCCTGAAATTACTGCAGCCTCGACAGCCACTTACGTACATTCTACGACATAGATTTCTTTCGTGTTCCGATCCATTACGATACTTCTGGTGGCAGACAGTGGAGGTGCTTTTGATTAATCGAGTTTTTGAACTGTAACCTTGAGCAGAGAATTTCATCGAAAAATAAAGAGCGAATGCAAAAAGTTGGAAATCGTGCCGATCAAAGACACCGGTGTTACCTCTATTCTGCAGTGTTTCTACTGAAAACGCTCTCCAGTATCCGCGCACTGTTGTTCACATCCTTTTTCTAAATCTGACGACTTCCCTTTTATGAATATTCCCAAAGGTATATTAATGTCTCTTGCATAAGGGAAGTCTCTGGGACCAGCAGAGCAAACTGGACGCGACCGAGTGAAGCCTACCAAAACGCTTTATCTATAACATTGCTTAGTGAAGCCTAAACAACAAAAACAATTGCTATGCGGATGTTGTCCTATCAAATATTTAAAATTTCCCCTCAGCGCAACCTGGCGAAGGAGCCTGCTTGTTCTGCGTGTCAGAAAAATGCTACCAAGCCTTTCCTAGCCTCTATCACACGTGCATGTCACAAATTGAACCTCACTTAGGCGGTAATTTCAGTAGTTATATTCTGCGAGTTGTCTAGTGAATGAAGAGGCTTCTTTTTCTATTACCTTTGGAGAGGGAAGGTGTATGTTGGTAAACATCTTGACACCCAAGTCTCCCCCAGCAACTTGAGATTTGGGCACTTTTGTTAGAGAAACCTGTCTTTTGATAAACAAAGCAATTATTCAGGAGCTGAAATTGAAACCTCGACCATTGAGTTGTCGGGTGCGAAACTAAGATCGCGGCTCTACAAAAATACTAGATGAGCAAAAAGACATCCTTTATTTTTTAAATGGGCTATGCACCAAAACTCATGTCAAATTAACCTGTAAGTAAAACGTACAGGTGTGACGATTGCTCGGCAAACTGGCTCAATGCCACTGTGATAATTGCTCGCCCGCACCATCCCCACGTGACCTATCCCCCTGCCCAGGGAAAATTTCAGCACGGAATATGGTACCGGGAGGTTATTGTGCTTGTTGGTGGATTGCGGGCCTGAGAACCATGACTCGAGCAGCTCGTGGCTCACGCGGTTATCACACCTTGCGAGGATTTCGGCCTCTTGAAATTTCCATTGGTAGGAGTAGAGTTTATTGTTGACATCGCAAGGCTAAAAGTTCAATGAACCAGAAGTCTACTTCCAGGCTTCGGTTATCAAGATATCGCATATGAGAGTGATTGGTCGACGAGGGCGAATATGTCGGAAATGACCATTCTTATATTTTGTGCATACCTCAGTAGTTATTCTGAGCACTAAACACATTCAGAAACCATATCTTTGTGTCATCGTATGCTGAATTTTATCTCGGGGACCCTATGTCCTACTTTCACATTTTAGCCAGGTTTCAGAAAACAAATTTAGCGAACACTTTTCCTATAACATCGCGA